TATCTAGGGTGAAACAGATCACCAGCCCAGGTTGGGTGCATGAGACAAGTGCTCGGGCCTGGTGCACTGGGAAGACCCAGAGGGATCAGGTGGAGAGGGAGGTGGGAGGGGGGACCGGGATGGGGAATACATGTAAATCCATGGCTAATTCATTTCAATGTATGACAAAAACCACTGCAATGTTGTAAAGTAATTAGCCTCCAACTAATAAAAATAAATGGAAAAAAATAAAATAAAATAAAAAAAAATAAAGTGTCATCTCTTCCAATCTTCTATTCAGAATATTTTGACCCTCATTTGTTCACTACTATAAGTTCCTATTGCACTTGGAGACTAAATCACACCACTAGCACTTAATTTCTGAAGTATCATGTTCTCTAATTCTTTTATTCTTAACTATTATGCTACATTGTGTCCCATCTGATACTGACCTGTAGTGTAGCTGAAATACTGTCAGTGTCTGGTCAGACTTTATCTCCTCTGGGTAGCTGGTACAATATCAAAGGCCCACTCTTTCCTTATATCTCTCTGTCCCTGCCTATCCACATATACTCTGGCACCATGGTATCAGAAATCTGAAATATAAATTCCCTTCTAAACTATCTTTTCACCATATTATCTACTGGATGACTTCACCAGCTCCTTCATTAACTGATTTATTCATTCATTCAACAAATACTGATTAAATGCCTTCCATATGACAGGCACCAAGAAAAAACAACAGGACAGACAGGGTCTCTTCCTTCTGTGGAGTCTTCAGTGGAGGAAATGCAATAAAAATGTAAATAAATATACCTTTTTAAATTTTGAACTTGATAAGTGCTGTTGAGGTACTGGTAGTAAGATAGAGACTAGGAAGCAGGGACTTGATGTGGATAGAATGGTTAGGACATGAGGTGACATTTAAGCTGTGATCTAAAGGACAAGGAAGTTAGCTATACAAAGGGAGAATATGGGGAAAAGTAGGACTCTGGGCAAAGGGAACAGCACCTACAAGAGCTCAGAGACAGGAATGAGCTTGCTGTGGTGAGCAAGACAGAATGGCACAAGATGAGATTGGAGAAATATAGGAGGCAGAGCAGCAAGAGCCTTATAAGGCATTGTAAAGACTTTATAGACTTTGCGAAGCAATTGAAGAATGTTAAACAGTAGAGTAATTAAATTCATGCTTTAAAATGAATGCATCAAAAAATCAATCCAATAGCTGTGAAGATAACCAATTGATGGGGAAAGAAGAGTTGCTGCAGTAACCCAGGCCACAGATGACAGTGACCTGCAGTAAGGTGGTTGTACAGGAGATAGAAGTAGACTCACTAAGCCAGGTTAAATCTTGGAACTTTGGTATTTCCTCTACTTTTGCTACCAACATGTAATCAATCACACATAGGTTCTAACTTCTACAATTTCTCACACCTGACTCTCTATTTCTTTGTTCCCACTGATCCAGCACTGCCCCATATTACCTCTCACCTCTGTGATTGCAGCTGTCTCATTACGAATCTCAGTTTTCGGTCCTTATCTGTTCCAATACAACCCACACACTGCTGCCAGAGCAAACTTTCAAAAATAGGATTCTGACCCTGTTTCTGTTCTGCTCAGAACCTCCAAAAGGCTCTATAGCTTGGGAGTCTACATCCTTGGTGGATGTAGTGGAAAGCTACAGTGGAAAGCTATTTAGTCAAAGCATAATACTTGCCTGGTGCTTTGCCCATCTCTGTTCCTTTCTAAATGTTATTCTCACATTATATATTATCCCTGCTGAATATTAATCCCCATTTTACATATGTAGTAACTGAAACTTCAAGTGATTACTGTTAGAACCATAATCTGTAGCTGTACTCTATTAAAATACAGTCATTAAAATTAATGATTTAGAAGAATACTTGATTATATTGAAATGTTTTTAATTTTAAATGTTTTACAAAACTGTTCATAGTATGATTATAATCTTATAAAAATGTTTATATCTGTGAGGTGTGACAGAGGATGATTTTTGTTTCCATTTTTCTTGACTTTCCAAACTTTTTAACCATGATTGTGTATTACTTTTATCATATTAGTCATCAAAAAGCTCAAGGGTAAATATCTTACATATCCTGTAAGGCTCTCCTCAAACACTGATATCTCCTGCCTCTCCACTCCCTCACCCCTACCAGAAGTTTGTAGTTTGTTATCCTTTCTCTCCTCCTACCTTCTTTTATAATCAGTTGTGAATTAAAATATCTCCCAGCCAAATCAAAAGGTCCTGGAAGAAAGAGACTGTCTTGCTTATTGTCATTCCCCCATTCCTAATCGATTTACAGTCTATTGCTGAAGTCAGCAGGAATCATAATTTAGATTTCTATCTAAAGGCTAATTCAAATGCCAAGGATATCAGGAATATCTTTTCAAATTCTGGAAAAGAGCTGTGGCATAATCTTGAGAAGCCCAGTGAAGTGCCTCAAGCCACTTAAAAGTATTTATTGTCAGGGGGAGAAAGGCTCAAGAGGGAGACGATATATGTATAATTATGGCTGATTAGCATTTTTGTGTGGCAGAAACCAACACAACACTGTAAAGCAATTATCCTCCAATTTTTTAAAAAAAGCATTTATTAAACTAAAGTGAAGACTAGATCTGTGGAAAGGAGAATAAAGGGAAACCCAGACTAGAATAGCAGGCTCCTCCAACTTAGACCAATGGACTCTAGTGAAATTCTTTATCCCCCTGAGGACAAAAATGTACCTAAGTCTTTTATATTATGAATGAATCACTTGCTCGAATGTATTCAGCACCTATAGTATGCCAAGCACTGAAAATGTGTTCAACAGGAGAAAAGGCAGATATGGTTCTTGACCTAAGGAAGCTGATAGAATGCCTGTTGGGGAGGCTTTGGATAAATAATCATATTTTAATTGTAAAATTATAAGCAAGATAACTTCAATCAATCATAAGATAAATTGTACAGTTGCTGGGGAAACCTGAAATAAAGGGCTTAACTGAATCTGAGAGGGAGTCTGATGAGAGAGCTATTGGTGTTGAGACCTGAAGAGTGTGCAGGAGTTAGCCGGGTGGAGGGAGCTACCTGCGGAAGCCGTTCTGGCAGAAAGAATGACAAGTGAGAAGCGAGGACCAATGGAGTAAGTCATTTCCTGAGGCTAGGATGAAAGAGGGGGAGATCCAGCAGAGCCAGTAATAGGCTTGTTGGGAATCTATCGAAGAACTGCTTCAGTCTCCAAGCACCTCCTTGTTCTGTCCGCATCACCGAGAAAGAATCCTAGGCTTGAGAGCAATCTTGGAAGCACTGCCATCACATTTTCATTCAAGGCACCCGAGTATTCCTATTTGAATAAATTTAAGAAAAGTAACATCCATGAGCAAAAAACAGCAGAGTCAAGACAGTCTTAAAGATCAACATTCATTAGCAAAGAACGACGGAGTAAAGACAGCCTTGTTGAAAGCTCAACACATTATCTGGCACATAGTTAGGTTTTTTAAATTACTCGTTGAACTCAAGAAACAGGTGCACTTTGAAAATGTAATTTATTTTAAAAGAAAGAAAAGAGGATGTCACGTATAATTTCCCCAAGCTAAGCACCGGTGTTACCTTCTCTGCCTGAAACTCCTTCAGGCCTGTGTGGGCAGCAGGTCCCACCTCGGAGCGCACTCAACCGCGGGATTGTCCGCGGAACCGCCGGAAGGCGGAACTGCAGGCGCTCGGCACTGCTGTCCTGCGAACCTTCGCGAGTGAAGCACCCGCCGGCCCGGAAGGCGCTAACGCGAACTACGGCCGCGGCAGCCATCGTTCTTTGCAGTTCGGTGTCGGAGTGAATAGGGTCGACTCCAAACAAGGAATTGCGTTTTCTCCAACCGCAGGTAAGTGGCGGCCTCTCGTCCCAGAAGAACTGGCGGGCGGCAGCTGTCGATCCCGGGGAAGGAGCGCCTTTGGGGCTGGGCCCACTCGATGCCCCTGCCTATAGCCGGGCCGGGAAGGGGCTCCTGTTTTTCGCCCTGGAATCCGGCGGCGGGAAAGACGACAGGTTCCTTTCATGCTTCGCGGGGCCACTCTGACGGCCATCTGGATAGGACACCGCTGCTGTCAAATGGTGGTAATTTCAGGAATCAAATAGATGACTCTGAACTGCAGCCAAGCCCTTCCTTGCCCTTAGCCTCAGTTTCCTTACCAGGTAAGGTGAAGGCTGCAGGGATCATTGACAGCTCAGAGGCAGTGACGCGACGTGTTGTTTTCAACTCTCCCACACAGTGTGGGGACAAATCGAGCTTTCCTTACTACCAGTAGTTAACGTTTTCCCATTGCCCAAGTCCCAGTTGAGCGGGGAAAAGATATACCATACTCTTGGGGGGAAAGCTGCAATTATTTACAGACTGTCCCAAGAGTTTCCAACAATGTTTAAATACTGACTTTGACAACAGCTGAAACTCTTGACATCGGTGACCAAAAGAACCAAACTCGTCAGGAATTTTAAGGTATTAGGTACATTGGACAGAATGAGCTGAAGAAATACTTTTAATTTGAAAAAGTAAACCCATTATTAGTTGCACATTTTTATCTCACACTTAAGACTGTCCTGCGTTCAGTGTTAGGACACCAATTAGAGTCTCAATGAGGCAAATGAAAGAGGGAAAGGAACATTTGTTGTCTACTATGTGTAAGGCGCTAATGTACTTTTTGTTCATTACACGAACCAAAAGGTTTAGTTCCATACAGCCATCCACTGAGGGAATAGTAGTATCTCTGTTTTACAAATGAGAAATAAGGAAGGTTTACATTTTGTCAACAATTAGTGGTGCTGATATTTCAAAATAATCTGCATACCAAATATTTTAGTGGACTTGCATTGTCATCAAAATATTTTGAATTTTAAAAACTTTAGGATAGTTCATTGACGTTTCCTGAGTTTGTGGAAGAGGAAGGTGTTGCCATCATTTTAGAAATATTAGAGAAGCAGTCATTAATTACTCAGACTAGCAGTTTACATAGGGTACATTTTAACTCCTTTGCTTTGCACTTTGAGCAAGAATTGAGTCCAAAGAATAGGCTATCAGAAATGGAAATCAGTGCCATATATTTGAAGCTTATAAATCAGAATTCTGTAGTAATGATTCATTATTTCTCCACCCTTTTAAGTACACTTGGCTGAAAATCATTTATTTTTCTGCAAAACGTTACTAAGCAAGTAATTTTCAGATCATGGTATTGAAAAGTTTACCTTCCTTGTATGTAGCTTTTAGTACAATTTGAGTTAAAAGTATTTTAATGATTGAATTAGCCATTGCTTATGTCAGTTTTTATTTTAATTCATTATAGGTAAGTTCAGTACTTTTAAGATTTTTTTTGATGTGGGCCAGTTACAGTGTTTATTGAATTTGTTACAGTATTGCTTATGTTTTTATGGTTTGGTTTTTTGGCCACCCGAGGCATGTGGGATCTTAGCTCCCCGACCAGGGATCTAATCCACATCCCCTGCATTGGAAGGCCTCTGGAGTCTTAACCACTGAACTGCCAGGGAAGTCCCTCATAGCTTTTTAAAATATATAGTTTTTTCCCTTTTCCTCTTAAAAAAATCCAACTTATATCTGTCACAGATTTAACCTTATTTCAGTCGAGCATCACTCTTCCTTAAAGGAAAATGGAGTATGTACTTTTTGTTCATTACATGAACCAAAAGATTTAGTTCCATTTTTATAATGGCTAAACATTCAGTCCTCAAATGTTTTCTTGAGTTTTTTATTTGCATCACTGTTTCAGTACTTTAAAGGTTGTAAAAAGAAAATCTAATAATTTTAGGGGTGGGTATTTAAAAGCAACCTTATTTTGAAACATTCAACATCATCAGTGTCCATACTTGTATGGACATTGGCCCTCCTTATCCAGGGATTCTGTTTCTGAACATTCAAGAACGGATAGAAAATATTTGGGGAAAAAAATTCCAGAAAGTTTGAAAAAGTGAAACTTCAATTTGCCAAGTGCTGACAACCATTTACATGGCATTTACATTGCATTTACAACTATTTGCTTTGTGTTAGATCCTTTAAGTAATTGAGAGATTATTTAAAGTATACTAGAGGAAGTGCGAAGACTGTATGTAAATACTATGACATTTTTATATAAGGGACTTAAGGAGAGGGTGTGGGGTGTAGAGGCCTGGAAACAATCCTCTAGGTCCCCAAGGGACCAAGCACAGGGCCTTGTTGAAATTCTACAAAACATGGCCAGAATTTGGCCTTTGTATTTCTAGTGCTGTTTGAAACTGAGAGAGGGGTATTTATAGTTCCTAAATTGGTTTACAGATAGTATATTGATCTTATGGAATTTGTGCACTTTATAATTACAAGCCTGATGAAACTGTGTAGAAAGTTATGATCAATCTCTTCTACTGAAATTTCCTTACCTGGATTTGAAGGAAACTATTCTAGTGCTTTTTTGGTGACAGTGATGTTGTTGTTAATATTTAAAGTAAAATCAGAACATCGTTAAAAATCTTTTTCTTAGTAGTAGTTATTAATATTGAAGTTGATTTCAAAATTGGCATTGAAAGTTCTGGGCTTTGATTTTCAATTGATTTAGTCTAAATTAATACCACCTTATATGGAATATTCAAAGTATTTTCATGTATGTTATTGTATTTAATCATTCTTAACACTCTGTGAGGCAGGCGGTATTTCCCTTATACCGAAGAGCAAACTGGGGCTCATAAAGAATGGCTTTCCCAGGATGAAATTATAGTATTTCAAAAGAAGAACATTCAGGACTTCCCTGGTAGTCTAGTGGTTGAGACTCCATGCTTCCACCACAGGGGCACAGGTTCAATCCCTGGTGGGGGAAGTTCTACATGCCATGTAATACGGCCGGGTAAGAGGCAGGGATGCACATTCAGTTTAGATTTTTTAAAATCTAGGACATCCATTCTACCTCATTCATTTTACCACAGCTCTACCATGCTTTGCTTCCCAAAGTTATTAATGTATTTACTCTAGAATCCTATTCTCAATACGATTGATCTCCTTAGAATATTCTAGTTTTTATTTTCTACCAGCACTACTTTTTGGAGTATTTGTATCTTGTCATCTTATGTTTATTTTTTCTCTTATGTATGTTTTCTAAAAGTTCACACCTAAATGATTTTGCTAAATTACTTACATTGTTATTGTTTAGTTGCCAAGTCATATCTGACTGTTTTGCGACTCCATGGATTGAAGCCTGCCAGGCTCCTCTTTCCATAGGATTTCCCAGGCAAGAATACTGGAATGGGTTGCCATTTCCTTTTCCAGGGGATCATTCTGACCCAGGGATTGAACCCGGTCTCCTAAATTGGCAGGCAGATTCTCTGTCGCTGAGCCATCTGAGAAGCCCAAATTATTTTGTTGTCGTTCAGGCACCCAGTCGTGTCCGACTCTTTGCGACCCCATGGACTGCAGCACACTAGGCTTCCCTGTCTGTCATCTCCCAGAGCTTGCTCAAACTCATGTCCATTGAATTGGTAGATGCCATCCAACCATCTCATCCTCTGTCATCCCCTTCTCCTCCTGCCTTCCATCTTTCCCAGATCAGGGTCTTTTCCAATGAGTCGGTTCTTTAATTTTTTAAAAATAATTTTATGGAGAGAGTACATACCATAGAGGATAGTTGTACATAACACTACTGAGCACTGTAAGTGTACAATTGAGTGTTTTTAGTTTACTCATGTTGTGCAACCATCACCAGTAACTCCAGAAACATTTTTATCACCCCAAAAGAAACCCAGTACTCATTAGCCACTCCCAATTTCACCTTCCCCCGCAGTCTGACAACAACCAATCTACTGACTCTAAAGAGTTGACTATTCTGGACTATTTCATATAAATGGAATCATCCTTATAAGTTTAATGTGACAAGGCTTTCAAAAGTTATTTGTAATCTGAGAATTTCTTTTCCATTACACCCTTTGCACTGATTTTCATATTACTTGAGTAGATCACTTTTCTAATCTGTGGGGCAATTTTTCCTGTTTGGTGTTCATGCAATAAATAAATCTGCTGACGTGTATATGTTTCCTTGTTCTTGACCTTTGCTTTTCACATGTCTTAATAGTGTGTTCATGGTGTTGTGTAACCTGTTCTCAGGGCTCAGGTATCTGTTTGCGGCTAAGTAACTTTTATTCTTAGTTGGCATTTTTACCTCTACTTTAAAATGACTAATGACTCCTAGCTTGTTTTAAAGATCTCAGAAGCCGTGACTTTATAGAAATATAAATATCTAATTAATTTCTGAAGAAGAGTTTCCCCATATATGTTATTAGTTATCTTGGGACAAATTTTACAAAAGCAAATCCTTCACAAA